ATCTTAAAATAAGAATGGTTTGACTATGTCTATTAGTGTTTTAATTAGTCTGAAAGATACATGTCCCTCGTGAATTTTGGCTGTCAAAATTAAGAGATCCTGCAATTATGTCCTAGAAGTCTTCAAAGCACCCATCCATAAACCAAATGCATCAGAAAATGAAACAAATACCAGTTCCCTTTACAACTTACAATTTTGTTTCTTAAAAAAAAAAAAATCAGAGAGGACATTACAATATCTTACAAACACTTCAGAAATCAAACGCATAGTTATTTTAAGCAATATCGGATAGTAAAGCAATCCACAGAGGAATGGTAGGAAACTTCTTAAGGGAAAACAACTTGTTTGAAACCCAACTGATTGGAATTGCATACTATTCATAAGATAGCTCTATTGAAGACTTACATTCATGAATCCATTTCGCAAGAGAGTGAGAAGAGGAAGACTGTGTGATTAACTATCATTGTCAAAACACTTGAAATAAACATTAAGAAACGCATAATTAGCATTATCACAACATGGCAGTAAAGATCAAGACACAAAGGACATTTACTGATTCCATGTGTCAGTATTCACGTCACCAACACTTCAAGCCTTATCTAAAGTTATCTGATGTACAAATGTCAGTCATAGGTGACTACTTGGAAATCTGTATATTTATTGCTGACCAAGGCGTTTAATAAGACAGGAAGTCTGCATGTGTTTCAGCTTACTGATTTACATGTCCACATCATTGTAAAGCATCTGTACAAAACCACCAAATCTACTTGATTCCCATCAAAATATTTTCCTAAACCATACATTTATTAGCTGGAGAGTATAGGATTCTGTTTTAATATTGTTCTACAGCTATAATAATGGCCAAATTAAATCTAGTTTGTTATGCCTAATTAAAGCCATTTGTTCCCCAGACTACCTAAAAGTGTTGTGACATTATTTGGAAAGGCATGATTTTCATAGACACACTTTTCAGTTTATGAGAGGACATTAAAAGAAAGAAGGAATAATAAATCAATAATGGCACAGCGCCCAAAGGGGAAAATATGAGGCCATAGCAAAAACATAAAACATAAAAAAAAAAAAAATACAATAAATACAACACAGACTGGTAAAGAAGTCAAATCAGGAGAGAAGAGTGTGAGATTTCCGTTTTCCCACTCTCTCTGTTGAGATGGGATGGCTTACGTTTTCAATGGTAACGTACAACATTACCAGGATGCCGGGGAAGAGAATTTAAACTGTAAAATATGCTTCAAGACTTCCTCTCCTTGCAGTTTTAGGTTTGGACATCCCTTTCAGAGTCAGTGGAAATAAAAAGCAATTTATTAGTTTGCTTTTTTT